TGTGTGTGTGTGTGTGTGTGTGTGTGTGTGTGTGTGTGTGTGTGTGTCTGTGTGTGTGTGTCTGTGTGTGTGTGTGTGAGAGATTAGGAAAAGTAACAAGAGTCACAATGCAGCCAGAAATCTCTGGACCAAAGACCCCACAGCAGAATGCTCTGGCTGTCCTGCTTTTCTCTTCCCTATCCTAAGAGCCCAGCACAGCAAGATCTCCGAGGCTCATCTCCATGAATCAGGGAAGAATGAAGCCCTTCACCATCCTTCATGCCCCTTAGCCCTCCCTACCTGGCCAGTAAAGGCAAGCAAGAGCAAACCAGTCTTTGTTCCTAATGGGATCCTAGGGCGACATCTAGTGGTTCTTTTAAGCAACACATCACGAAACTACCACGTGTATCCAGGGGACCACATGGCTTGGCTGTTTTGGCCTCCTTGTCCCCTAAAGGCAACCACGTGCATCTTCTTTGCCTGACCTTCACAATGAGCCCCTGGACTACAGGTGAGTCTGGCCTCAGCCTTCTCCTGTAGGCCCCAAAGGAACAGGGCTTGTTGAGCCGGATACAAAAGCTTCAGTTGCTTCCCAACTCCCTTAAAGGTCAAACATGGGGGAGGAAAGTGATGAACAAAGAATGAGGAAAGCTAGGGGCTTGACACGGGGATAGGGGAACTTAAGACTAGCCTATAAGATACCTGATACTCTGTATTTGTGAAAATTAACTGACCTGACATCCTACATCCACCCCACCAGGTCCATTTAGAGTATTTCCAAAAAAAAAAAAAAAAAAAGTGAATGGAGTTACACAAGAATATTTGACGCATGATTATTTCCCATTTAAAATGTTTCTAACATGCAATTACATATCGAAAATGCTTTTTGACATGTGCCAATTTTTCAGTATGAAAACAGGCTTAATTTCCTCCATTTTGCCCCAAAATTTCCCCAACCACACCCACCCTCACCTCCAAAGTGCCCAGTACCTCAGAACTCAGATTTCTGTATTCTATCAAGCCCTATCAAGTCCTATCAAGAGTGTTCTGTGGCTAACCCAGGTTGGGAAATATTGCTTTACAGGATTCTCAAGATGCAAAGATTGCTTACCATCCTGGAAATCCTGGATTTCAGTTTAGAAGCTACTCCCCACACCCCAGTTTGGGCTGAATATCTCACCATGAACCCTTCCTATTAACAGAAAAAACCTATCTCTTTCTAATCAGAATAATGCCAAGGACCCAAGATTCCCATCCAGACACCCAGGGGTGTCAGGGATTCAGAATGCCCAGAAGGCACTCTGGGTTTCCAACACTCAAGAAATGACGCTGGTTGAAAAAAAAATTCTTTTTATTGGAACTCATCTGAACATCAGATATACCTGGTGTTGGTTAGCAAGAACCGTTTGTACATTTGATATTGATGGTGCCAAAACCAAAACAGTGACTGGACATGATAGGGACTGGTAAGGAAAGGGCAGGGGTGATGTTAAGAACAAAAAGAAATGATTCGGAAAGGGGGAGGAGGGCAGGGAATGACAGGAAGATGGAGAAAGGAATGTAGCCAGTCAGAGATTAAGTGAAGATGCAAAACTGGGTACAACAAAATCCTTTTACAAAATATAAATTTATTAAGAAAATCTGGGTGAGAAAAAGGGCCAGAAAGTAGGAGAAAGAGAAGGAAAGAGAGAGAGAGGGAAAGAAGGAGAGAGGAGGAGGAGAGGGGGAGGCAGAAGAGATGAAAAGAGATTAGACCAGAGAGAGAAAATGGGCACAGGTAAGAAAGATGAGAGGAAGAATAAGAGAATTCAGCACAACAAAGATGCAGAAGCTTACACTGCCCAAATGGCATTAAAACCTTGCTGAGTAATCTCATCATAAAACAAAACATGCTGGAATACAGTGCTCCGCCTCCCACCAATTTTGATTTTTTAGAGGTAAATAAATAAGCTCCCTGGGAGGGTGACATGAGGTCATTTGAAACCCCACCCCCACTCCACCCCCCCAAATGGTTACAAAAGAAAAAGAAAAGCCCTAAAGACACCCCCACAGTCTCATTTCCAATGTTCATTGTTTTAAAAAAGGAATAAATCCATTTGACAGCAGGAGAAAGGGGAGTAGAAGACATGGAGAGAAGCTGGTCGATTTCAGAACAGCCTCTCTCCTCCACGCGGAGACTGCCAGGGGAAGGAGAGGAGGAGACATCTGACAGCCTCCACTACTGACTGGGGTTTGGGGTACGCCAGGGGCAAAGGGGGCCGTTAAAACACTGAAGTCTAGTCTAGTTTTCTGTTCGAGTTTTAAAAAGAGTAAGAGCCACATGCACAGCAGGCCCCAGGGGTCTGGAGGGCCTGCAATGATCCCTTGAGTGGCCGTGATGGAGGTCGGCTCCAGGCCCCACAAACTGGAGCTGCCAGGCCCTTCAGGCCAGGGTGCTGGAGCCACGTTCTTGGGAGACCAAGCGGAGGGGGGGAGCACAGCAGGGGAAAGAACACTGAGATGCCTCATTTCCAATAGAAAAGAAAAGAGCAGTCTACACACACCGTCGTTTGTTTTGGTTCAGTACAAACAGAATATAAAGTTGGCTGCTTTGGACGGTCAGCAAATATCCAATTGACAAGAAGAGAGAGAGACAGCCCGGCGGATGGAGCCTGTACCCTGGTGGTCGGCCATGATGCCCGCCTTCGTGGCCCTCTCCCAGGAGGCAGAGAGCACAGCTATTAGGTAGTGTAAGCCTTTTTCTTTTTATTTAGAATAACCTCTTTTTTTTCTTTTTTTTTTTTTAAACAATATTCCCCACTCCCAAGTTGGGCCAGTAAAGATTACATGGAAACTGGCACACCTATCGGCTGGAATACAGATGCACCGAATGAGGAAATTTAAAAACTTTCCGAGCGAAAAGTAGAACAAAAAGAAAAAAAAATCTCCTAGCATTTTCCCCAAAGGTTTCACTCTCCTGCCACACACACTCTCCAAACGACAGCTACCAAATCCAACTCTGCAAGAGAAGACAGAGCAGTGTCAATCGGGGAAGCCGCAGGGGCACAAGGAGGAGGCATTTCGTCTTGACAGGCAGAAGACAGCACACTGTCGCTCGCCCTGGTCCCGGAGCCTGCACTCACCTAGGTCAGTTTCTTGGCTTTGTTGTAGAGTGAATCCACTACTTTACTCATATTCTGAATCGTCTCCAGAGCGGCTTCGTACGTTTTATCTACTGGAGGTTCATCAAAAATAATCAGGACTCCCTCCCCCTGGTCCAGGATCCCTGCAGGAAAGAGACAACAAGGGCATCTACCGTAAGAAGAAGGTCCATCATGGGGAATTTGCAACATTATCAGATTAATTACCTCTACTTTCTCCAGAAATGGGGAGAGAAACACACACACACACACATGTATCCCCTTCACACTGGCCTTCCTGATGAATTTACTAATCAAGCACACACACACACATTCAGAGTCTCACGAAATTAGTAAAAAATGAGAGTACCGAGTCAAAGACTACAGTCTATTCAAAACAATGCTGAAGCTAACCGTGGCCTTGGCAAAAAAACCTGTGGGACCCTGTGCTCAGAGATCACACCACAAACCCTCCTCTTCGCTGAATCTTTACTGATCTACAAACTAACCTGACCCATTCTTGAATGTTCAGGTTGTAAAACATCTTAGGACTGTACACTTACTGGCCACTCCTACTTCTCTCATATCTTTTCTCCACAAAAGACTGGACACCAGCACTTGCCACTCTTTACGGACTGTGTCTCTGATTGCACTGGTACAGGGAATTCCCCTTCTCAATGCAGGTCAGCACCTTTGCTATCACATATAATCTCCAGGGAGCCTGGAAGTGACTAGCCCAGAGTCACACAGCCCACGCAGCTCAGAGTCTGGACTTGAACCCAGCTCTTCCTGGCTTTAAGGCCAGCCCTCTCCTAGGCCAGGCTGCCTCACCAAGGACTGCAGGTGATGCTGGGGCACATTAATGGAGGGGCTGAAGCTAGGGCTCTGGCTTTTTATGCCAAATTCCTCTTCAACTTAGGCAGCTAAAACTGTAACCCTCCACCTCAGAAATCTCCCCAATCTCCATGCAGTTTATAATGACTTCCCTGCCTTAAGACCAATATTGCCTTGAACCTTTCTTGTCAATACTCAAGAAGACAAGGCCTCCCCACCAGAGAGCCAAAGAGAACATAAGATGCTGGGGGTGTGTGTGTGGGGGGGGGGGGGGGGAATCCAACATTCGATACACCACAACTGTTGCTACTCAGGGGAGGCTGAGGCATATATACCTCTCAAAAAGCACAGGGAACACTTGCTAAGTAGTAATAGCCCCTACCTTGCAAGGTTGTTGTGAGGACCAAATGAAGTAACATTATATAAAGAAAGTGCTTTTGAAACTTTGAAGCACTTTATAAATGTTAGCTGCTATTATTCTTATGAGAAGTGCCCTAGCCTCGTTTCTAAGTAGCAACAGTCCTCAAGTGAGGACCACAGGCTGGGCTGCAGGGCCCCAGGGCAAGGTAGGGCCCAGACACAGAGAGGAACAACCTGGAAACTGACAGATCACAACATGTTCCCTTCTACTCCTTCCCATCCCCTTTCCCCCAACTAACTGTTCACTCACTCACCATGAAATTTCTTGTCAAGAATCATCTGTGACAGTTTCCTTTCCACGTCGGCCTAAAATCGAAGCACAGAATTAAGGAGACGAGTCTCCAGACACTAACCAGATAGCCCAGGTTTGTATATGAGAACTAATGGAAAGGGCCAAAGCCAACTCCAGGCCTCAGCATCAGGACAGAGAAGCTGCCTCCTTCTAAGGAAGGACCAAGCAGGCACAAATGGCACATTCCCCTCTCACTCCCCAGCCCCTCTCCCACAGGGCTTCAGAAGGACTCCACATAACTAACTTACCTTAGAGAGTTTGATGAGACTGGATATATGTTCAATCTAAAAGGAAAGGCAAAGGCAGCAACAGTTAAGAAGAAATGTGTGCCTTCAACCAAAACAAGGCAGGAAAGGGGGATGGAGGAAGAAACTGGACAGCACTGATTCAGTATATCTCTCTACAGCTCTATTTTTTTCATCTTCCAAGAACACTACAGAATTGTATTGTCCTAGGACTGTTCTAGGCCCACTCAGGGCTCCCTTACCTTCTGGGCTGCGACTGACTGACTAAAGGGGAGAGGAGCCCCCAGACAAGTAAAACTATCCTCACTTCAGAACAAGGAGAGGAAGGCCTTGGGCACCGCAATTGTTCATGTGCAGGGGTTCGCCCTCACACTGTACGGCAAGTGCTAACCAAAAGGTAGCAATGAAGACTATAGCTCTTAAGAAACCAGGACATCACGCCCCAAACACTCAAACATCCAGCCAGCCAGGGCGTCACGTCTAACTGAGTCCTCAGAAGCCTCTCTATCTCTCTGCAGCCGTCTGACCTCACATCACCCTTTCCCATCCTCTTCTTCTTCAAGTGATACAGTCAGTGACTTCCCTTAGCCATCAGAGTCCCTTCAGAAGGTAAGCCAATCAGGACAAGCCCAAGAGCTCTCATCAGTGGCTCAGTGAGTCTGTGAGCCCTGGCAGCTGCTGGAGGCTGAGAGCTATCCAGGCCTGCCCTCCATGCCAGCCTTCCACCCACCCCGGCCCCTCAGCTGCCTGCTGCCCTTAGGAGAGTTTTACCTGGACTCTGGAAAAGGGTTCAATCACGCGGATCAGATTCTGTTCCAATAAGTTATCATACAACTTAGCCAGGTGAGTGTTGATAATAGGGTCATCCCGGAGTTCTACCCGGTAATCTGTCAGTGCCTAAGGAGAAATGCAGCAACAAAGAATGGCAAAGATCATCACCACCTGCGGGTCCCGTGGGGTGTGAAGTGGCCTCTGAGTAGTCCAAAGACAATGACCGTGGGGGACAGTCCTTCAGAAATGCGAGGTGCAGGCCTCCCAACAAATTCTCTTGTACTGGTGTATATACTTAGCGTGGACATGATGTCTCCCCACTCCGACAGAATGTAAGCCCCCTGAGGGCAAGGATTGGTTCGTTTTTGTCTTTCTATTCCCAGGACACAGCACAGTGCCTAGCAAATAGTAAGCGCTTAAATCAAAGTGAAATGAGCTCATGGGTCTCAGCCAACTTTTCAAGGCCAGTAACTGCAGTTCCTTATGACATGGGAAGCTCGTGTACATAATACCACCTTATGTGGATAGGGCTAAGCGTCTGAGCCTGACTGCCCTGGCACAAAGAACTCCAAAGAGAGGAAAGATCCTCCACCAATGCAGGTGAGCCAGCCCCTCCCTGGAGCACTAGCAGTCAGGTGACTGTCCAGGGTCACACAGCCAGTGCTCCAGGGTGTGGGATCTGGAAACCAGGCCCTTCTGGCTCAGAGGCTGCCTCTCTACGCTGTGCTATGGAATGTGTATACGGATGCACTGGAGTTCATTCTGAGGCTCACAGCTTCTTTCTGCCTATGTTCAAATATCAACATTTCTTCTTTTATCCATACAAGGAATGGGCCAAGCACTTTCTGGAGGTAAGAGATTTAACAAGGGGCCACATGAGGTGATGAAGATAATTACTGAGGCCAAAGGAAACAGAGCAGGAAGGCTTAGCTTATGCCTGAGACATTCTTTACTTCAACAGATTTTTCACAGCAAAGCTTAGTTTCTTCTAAGAAAAATATTTTGAGCATTTATTATTTAGAAAAAAATGCAAATTACTTCCACTTAAATCATTAATTGCTCTGGGCAAGAGAAATTTTAAATTCTGGATTTAAGAAAACGTATTGGCATCATAATGGTGCCTCCCAGGTTTCTTTCAGGATAGCAAACCTAGAGGCGGATGCCAATTGATGCATAATTATCAAATGACAGTCTGACTTTCTTTTCTGCTGCAATCTTTCAAGTCCATTTTTTTTGTTTTTCAGTCATGTTCGACTCTTCATGACCCCATGTAGTTTTCTTGGCAAAGATGGTAGAGTAGTTTTGCCATTTCCTTCTCCAGCCCATTTTATGGATGAAGGAATGGAGGCAAACAGGGTTAAATCACTTGCCCAGGGGTCACACAGCTAGTAGGGATCTGAGGTAGGATTTGAACTCAGCTCCTCCTGACTCCAAGGCCAGCACTCTATCGACTGTGCCACCTAGCTGTTCAAGTCCATGCCCATCTCTTAACCCAGTCTGGTACTACCCATGAGCTCACCTTTTCAAAGTCTGCCAGCGATCGATTCTTGCTAGCCTGAGCCACACATTTTAATGCTTCTGTCTGCAAACAAGAAGGAAAGAGCCAAGGTGATCTTTTTGCACACTCACACACTCATCCAAACACAAATCTCTTGTGTTTTCCCCTTCTGTTCTTTTTGGCAGTGTGATTTCCATACAAATTTTGACTACAAAGACAGAACATTCAATCTGGCTTTCTTCACCTGCATAATAAGAGAAACTTGACACTGACCTCAGCATAATTAAGAACACAAATGACAGGCCCACTAGTTTCCCATGATCAACGGTCTTGGGAGACTTATGAATGAATAGACAGAGCTAAAAATAGGAACAATTCTTTTAGCAGAGTTAGCAGTTTATTTGCCAATCAACCAAAGACCATCCCCAGGGACTGAGAGGTCAGGCTGCTCCCCAAAGATTGTCCTTATTCTACATGTGCCTTCTAGATTTACACCACATATACTCTTGGAGACAGAGTGAATTCTGGGTTTGGTCCAGAGCCAGGAACATTACTGGTGCTACCCTACTTGCTAGACAAGGTACTGGGAGGCTGACTTAGGGTGAGCTGTCACAACTAAGAAATCCACTATGAACAAGGTCCAGTGCTAAAAAGTGAATATTTATGTTACCTGTAACACCATAACATTCTTATTCTAGGAAGTCTTAAAGGCTGTTAGGTGTTAAAGGCAACCACCTACCCACCCATAAGGCAAGTCAGAAAGTATTTATTCTCAGTGGAAAGCTCATACACAAGAAAGGGGAAGTTACTTTTCATGAAAAGGTTAAAAATGACTCTTAAATTTTTTGCCCTGAAGCCCCTGACCCGCCAAGAAGCTCACTCTATCAATCTTTGCCCATCTCTTCTGAGTGTGGGTGTGTGTATGAGAGGAGAAAGGGAGAGAAGGAGAGCTAGAGAAACCGAAGAGGACATGCCCGGTCCATTACACTGAATCTCTGTGGTTTACTGCCGATAAATAGTAAGTGTGGTGAGGCTTTCACCACTATAATAAAGAGTGTGGTTGTGGCTGACATTGGAAGCGCCTCTCAAAGTCAAGTCGATTAAGGTTCTATGTGGAGAAGAGGGAAGGTTCTTTCTGATGGTATCGTCGCTTCCCTAGAGAGCTAAGTGTTCCCTACGACAGATCACCTTCAGCTGTCCCAGTTGTCTTTGGAACCCAAAAGGACAGAAAGGCTCGCTCAAATCAAAGGAGATGGAAGTAGGGGGATGGGGAGGCGCAGAAGCAGACCAGAGAGCACAATTTTAACAGAAACCGGGATGTCACCTTTCAAGAGAATGATTCATCCCTACTCCAGCATTAAGCTACTTTAACCAAGAGCATGTGTCCCCCCTCTTTTTTTAACCACACCCAGCAAAAAGGTACAGACTAAGTTGTACCAACAGCTCCCCGAGTGGCGCCGGCAGCAGCATTATTTCTAGGGGGATGCAACACACAGTAATCCTAATGCACCGAGTCATGGGATCAAGGCAGCATCAGTGAGGACTCTGCAGCATGCTGGATCACTCTGGGGTCACCCACAATTTAACAGGCTGAACACAGAGATACTACGACCAGGCCATCCGGGCTAAAGGCTAGAGTCGGGTAACGGTGACCAGCCTGGCCTGGGGCCAATGTTCATCTTACATGTGCCTGTTTCAAGACCCCAGTGCTTACTCGCACTTACAATCACAACAGACTCTGGACAAGAATTGAAGAGAAAGTCATAATGACTTGAGATTGGTGGGGAAGGAAAGAGTTGCTGGGGGAATAAGAGAACACAGCACCAACCACATTTTTCAGCCTTCCCAACCGAGTACGCAGTTAGTTGAGCTCCGAGCCTCGGAGGGGGCTCACCAAGAACACAAAATGTCTTTCCTACCTGCCTCCCTGCGTACCGCAGTGCAAGCTTCCCGCTCACTAAGGCTTGGACATCTTCTGGCCTAGAGGAAAAAAAGAGACACCTTTTAGTGGGTCACTTGCCTGTCGATCCTATCTGAACCGGGGTTCTCCCTGAGCCCTAGATGCAAGACTAGACTCCAGAACAGAGCCAGCCCTAGACTCTCAATCCAACTTGTTCATTACATATGCAAATAAGCCCCTAGATTTTTATGACGACTTCTCACTGCACTGTTACAAAGACAGAAGCTTTGGAAAAAACAAAAGTAAGATACAGGTCAAATCCGATTACATCAAAATCCCTATAAAATGAAGTGTTTAGTCCCAAATGATATTTCAACGTTAAAAAAAAAAATTTAAATTTCAGTACAGCAAAACATTTGGGTAGTCTCTTGGAACTGTTCAGTAACATTATTTAACCAGCTATCATACTTTATTCTCTATTACATATTCTCCTTATCTCCATTTCAAGTGGTGTGAGCCCACAACTTTTGGAAAACAACCCAACTGAGCTGGGCCCAGACCAGTATTACAGAATTCAGAGCTCAAATGGTCCCTGGAGATCATCTACACCAGACATTTTCAGAGTGTGGTCTGAAGACCTCTAAACCCAAGACCCTTTCAGGGAGTCCATGAGGTCAAAACTATTTTCATAATACAAAGACACTTAATTTCTAATATGGTAAATATCTATAGATATCTCACATAAACAAAACTCTTTTGGGGGAGGATCCTCAATAATTTTTACCAGTGTAAAGGAATCCTGAGATCACAAAGTTTGATCTAGACCAGCCCCTCTCATTTTACTTAGGAGGAACCCATGGCTCAGAGTAGGGGAGAATGAGTGCTTGAACTCAAGCCATTGGACTCAATCTTCAGTGCTGTCCCTTACCCAATGCTCAGCTGCCTCTTAGGGCAAGGCATCCACCATGTGAGAAAAACTTCGCAGAATGGGTTTAGGTAACAGCTTTGGACACCTACCACTAGGCAGGCATGGACTAAGCAAAAATAGAAGCTGCTGAGGGCATGTTAACCCTGTTTCTCTTGCCCTGCCCTCCCCCCCATTCCCTCTTGCAGCCCCTTCCCATGTCCCTTCAGTTCAGGCACCTACGTGTTGAGCATGATTTTGCAAAGCAGCATGTACTTCAGTGCTGTGATGGCCTTGGGGCTGTCAATGGAGTCATAGCCTTCAAATGCCTCATAGAAATAAGAGTACGCTGTTTTCCAGTCCTTCTCTTCTGCTGCATGGATGATACCTAGGCACAAAAGGGGGATTCAAATCACAAGGAGTTCACTCAGCTTCTCCCTGGTATCCTGCAATGAAAACTACATCAGCTGGACAAACTGTTACTGCCTCACCCTCACTGCCAAGGACTAGAAAAGAGAGGTCTAAAAAGAAGTCATATAGAAAAAAAGTTGGTAAATTTTAAACATTGAGTCAAATTTAGTTAAAAATGTAGAATATGACTTCCAGAACCAGTAAACATGACTTTTTTCAAGTCACTGATAAATATGGTGCAAAGTGGAGAGAAATTATAGGCCCACTGTAACCCTTGGTTAGCTTTAAGTGTCTCTGATGATTTTTTTTTTTTATTTTACTCTACAGACAAGGTTAGACAACTGGATGACTGACACAACACCAATGCTAACCCAGCAAGGTGACACCACTGGTACATGACATCCACAGGTGATCTGCTCAAGCAGGGCCAGACGCCTCCAGGGGGTCATGACAGGCCAACAGCAGGGCTGTGCTCATGCCACCACCCACCCAGGATCTCTGAGCACTGCCCCACTCCTCTAATCCGGCTGTTGCTCCAGGCTAATGACCACCATCTTGAGTCCTTCGGTTTAGTACTAACAAGGTGTCAGGCCTTAGGTGTGCACTGGGCAAAAGGCATCCTTCAGAAGGCCTCCAAATGATCATTAATCTGAGTTTAATGATCCTGGGATAGAGATGCTACTATTCCAGTAAGTAAACAAGGAATTAAAAATGAGAGAGATTAGGAATTTGTTTTAATCTTGGATGAGTCAAAAATTGAACCAAAGCCAGAATTCTGGGATCCGCCTTCTAATTTCTTCCTCTGAACGTCAAGTCCTTGGCTAATCACTTATGAGCACTGATCCCACGTTGGTCAGGTAAGAGAAGGTGTCAGGTGCCTGGAAGCAGGTAGTTAGGAAGGGGGTTTTCTGGTATGTTCCAAATGCAGGAAGTGTTTAATGTTTGGTTTTTTTTCCCTACTTGAACTGAATTGTGAAGTGCCAGTGATCCTCAAATAACAGTCACATCAAATAGTCCCTTTTTCTCCACCTTCCACAAAGACTAATACCCCTGAATAGTAAAACAAAGTCAGAGAACAAGGCAGGACAGTAAAGAGTTCATTTTGTCCACCATGGAAAGAGGGAGAACACATCAAAAAGAGCTGCATCATTGAAAATCCAAGACAATGGTTCCCCCAGGTAGGTAAGACGCTGTTACCTGATTGCATGTCCAAGGTAGCCTGCAACTTAGGAGGGCAGTAGATGGCATTTGCTGTGGTTCGAGCAGACGTTAAGGCAGCTCGCGCTTTGGGAAGATTGCTCAGGGCATGGTATGTTTTACTCTCCAAGAGCTGCACTTCTACCAGAAGAGCCTTGTCATCCATCTTCTTTAACTCTCTCAGCAACTGAGAACCTAGCAGGTAAAAGATGCATAACCCCTCTATTAGATTCCTTTCATGCCATCACATGTTAAGTACTGATTAAGTGCTGCCCTCTTCCTCCCAAAGAAATTTCTCCTTTAGGCACAGGCCCCTAAGGAGTAGAGGATCCAAATACCAAAGGTTCCACACCCCCACCCTTCATTATTGTTGGGGTCACTACTCTAGGCCTTCTCTACTTCTCCCCTAGCCCCCAGAAAGCTCATTAGGAAAACCTCAACATCCTTCAAAACCGAAGGGCCCTGGAACTCCACCTCATCACCTTCCTCAGCTTTTCAGCCAGGAGGGTGGGGCTGTGGCCTCCCGGCCTCCGTTTAATGAGGGGGCTGAGCTCAGAGCATCTCTCACCTGACAGCACTTCTCTACCAGGCCCCTTTTAAATCCCTATGTCTCCTCAGCTCATGGCCTAGCACATAGTAGGCACTTAATAAATGTTTAGTGATTGCATACTTAGTACACGCATGGCAGTGCCCTCAGGGCTACAGGGAAAACAAAACAGATTAAGATGAGGTCTTGCCTGTACCTCAAAGCAGAGGTATTAGGTCTATAACCAAGAAGAGCTATATAAGGAGATTTTTAGCTGAGATGAAGGATTCGGTTCTTAATGTACCTGCACTCTCTGGAGCACTCTGCATTTTCTAAAGATAACATGAACTCACAAACAGGTCCATCCTAGGACTTAAAGATAGCAGGAATGCCCACATCTAAAGACCAGGGCCCCCTTACCTCACCTGTCACCTGACCTCACCTGTCTAGCTTTCTCAGAGTACATGAGAAAATAAGTGGACTCAAAGGCTGAGGAGAGACGGAGCTTCTCCAGGTATTTGGTGTCCCTCCAAAGGAACCTTCCTCTCCATCTAAAACAAGGGAACCGAATCCCAACAGGCAAATCTGAGGCCTGAAACCTTTTGGCATGCATAGCTATGGAAGTAACAATTAGTTAAGAAGAAAGAAGCATGTGATGTACATGGAAACACCAACGAGGTAACACAGTGGAAACTGTACTGGACTTGAAAATAGGAATGGCCAAGATAAAAATCTTGCTTCAAACACTTACTAGCTGTTTGATTCTGGACAAGTCACTTAAGCTTTCTCAGCCTGTTTCCTCATCTGTTGAAAAGGGACAATGGCACCTACCTCACCGGGTTGTTGTGAGGATCAAATGAAAAAATGTAAGTAAAGTGCTTTGCAAACCTGAACGTAGTAGCCGTGAGCCTACAACACCGGGGCGAGGGATGGCAAGGACTCCATGGTCTGCCATGAAATCAGGAGTCACCAGGAGCCTCCCTGAGTCGCAGTTTGCTGGTTCTCCAGATGGTAAACAGTAAATCACTTTACATGACACTGCCTGGCCAAAGTGTCTGTTTGCTCTAATTCTCCATCAGTTAACCAGGCCATCAGTGATAACTAGGCCATACTGACACAGAAAACAAGGAGACATCACAACCAGTCTTTTCTCCCCACACTCACATAAGCTCTCTAGCTACCCAGCTCCTCTGGTTCACTTTCCCTGACCATCATTCAAACTAACTGTAAACCCACAAATATAATTCCTTCCAGAACAACTACTCCCATCTGACTTTGCAAGAAGCCACTGAATTGTGGAAAGCATTCTTTTCTATCTGGATTATAAGATCACAGCTCTAGAGCCGAAAAGGCTCTGGAAGGCCATTTCATCCAACCGCTCACTTCACAGCTGAGGAGCCCAATGCTCAGGGAAGTTATGAGGTGACTTGCTCAAGGTTATACAAACTATAAATGGCAGGGTATGATTCAAACCTGGGCCATCTGATCTCAAACCCAACAATCTCTCCACTGCCATCACCACTGCCTCCCCGGTGAGAAGTCGCACACCTCAAACAGCCCAGAACCATGAGCATGTAATGCTGAGGCTCAGAGTGCGTGAAGGCTCCGTGGATTCAGCAGTAACTGACTGCACAAGGAAGGAAGGGACTCCACGTGAAGCAATGAGCAAAGATTCGCTTAACCCTGTCCTCATCAACTTGTCGGTTTCCCATCCCCAGCTAGGTGGAACTTTTTAAAAACAAATGTGAAAAAAGATATTGTTATTACAATCCCTAGCACAGCACTTACAATTTTAGACTCAGAGATGATGATAATGTGCAAATTAAAGATTTAGTAAAAAAAAATCAGTAAAATTCAGTTTTTACAATAGAATCATCCTTGCTTCTCTAAATTTGGATTAATTAGGATGTTTATCATTGAGATCCCTAAATTAAGAAGGTTAAGGCAAGGGGGTCTCTTCAAACCTTCCGGAAGGGTTACTACACGTTGAGCTTTGAACTATCATGAAGTCCTATTGCTTTCTACAAGATCACTTACCCAACTGTAATGCTTCTTGGTACCTCTTGGTATCAAAGTACAACGACACCAGCCTCGCCTGGAAAATAAAAATGTGACCGATATGAGGGAGGGAAAAGCTGGAGAAAGGAATCAGAGATTAAGAGTCACCGAACTGCTAATGATGAGTACGTAATTCCTGCTGGTGATACTAATTCCAACCTGAGAAGCGATACGATCAACAGCAGCAAATCAGAATGTACAGGATGGCTAACTGACTGATGAGGCCACTAGAGTACTACCAAATCTAGGCCCAATAGTGAATCTCCTTCAATACTGGAATTGGACTTCTAGAACTTCTAAGGAGGAAAGGCAAAATCTTCCTTTATCAGGCTAATTCCAAGAGCCTTGCCTAATCAGGTTAATCATTCAGGCACTTCTCACAATGAAGCATCCTGATACAATCTACAACTCTGCCAAATAAAGGAGATCTGGGTAGTAAAAAGGTACGTTTCCTTTGGTTATTCAAGGAAGATATGAGCTACCTGAGGCCTATGTCTCATCCGCTAGGCACATACCTCCAGAGCCTGACGTAAGAATGTCCTCTTCTCAGATTTGGCCCACTCAATGCACTCTAAGCATAGCTCCACCTACAGTGGGAAGAGAAAATACATACAATCATCCTAAATCCTTCCAGCCCTGTCATAGAGTACCGACTTGTAACACTAGTTTGAGGGGCAGGACTAAATACCAACACTACACACTGTTATGTGCCTTCTCATCTTGGTCCCAGATTTTTGCTACATTCCAAGCTGTGTAACAAGCTGTGTTACAATGGGGCCTTACTATGTTGTTTTTGTTTTCTAAATATTAAAAGTCCTTTTGGTTAAATAGTAGTCTTCTGGGAAATGGACAGCTCCAGCAGCACACCATTCACTTGGCCTCCCCCTACTGCTGAGGTCCTTTTGGCAAGATCAGTAGGAAGAGTCTTGAGGTAGTTCTGAAGACCTTCCCAGAATTAGCAAGTCACTAGAAATTTGCAATGAATACCTAAAGTAACAATGTTCTCCTCCAAATGTCCACACACTGTGAGAGTCAAGAGCAGACAGCCACAGTTCCAACATAAATGCTTTTGTTTCTAACAGCTGCTTCTAAGACTCAAAAAGCCCAGCTGGGCAATTTCCCTTTCAGATTCTGGACAGAACAACTAGCCAATTCATGGGCACTCTTGTGGACATATCAAACTTAGCTGATTATTAAATACATTGAACAAAATTTCTAGTAAGCTTACAACCAAAAAAGATTTTCCAAGTTTTATTTAAGTCATCTGCATTTCCTGTTGCATCAATTACCTAGGCAAAAAAGGGACCTTGCAAAAGAAGGAACACTGAGGCAATGTTGGAGGGTAAGTAATTTTTAACCAATATCTAAGAAGCAGATAAGTGATCTAAATTTTGACATTTAAAGAACTGCAGCTGAACCTATAGGAATACAGACATAGGAAAGACAATACTCAGTATGCAGAATGAGCTTTAGGACCATAGGAAGAAAACAGAGGTCCTTGGATCTTACCATAAACACAGAGACTCTTAAACTGCAGAAAGAAACAGGACCAAAAACAAAGGGCCAATGGTTTTGCTGCTGGCCCTATTGTTACCATTAACTTTTTCAAATTTATTCCAGCACCAAGAACAAAAAACGTTCATCACTTCGGTTCTGTATAGTGTATCACGACTCCTAACTGGGAACCATCATTATAGATCCAGACATATAGAGAGGAAGGAACTCAGCAGAGAGCCTAGCCTTATCCAATAAAAATTTCTCATTATATTAAGTGATTCCAGAAGAACCACTAGAAGGAGAGAAACTCTAAAAAAATATGTTCTTGTTCCATCAGCCTGCTTATTGGCCATTAGGTCACAGACAAAAGACTAAACTTAGCAAATAACAGTGACAGTTTAAAAGTATTCAATACCACAGTACTGTCCCAGCAAGATGAAATCAATCAAACAGTTATAGGTCTTTATCAGGGATCCCTGTTGGCCATTGCCTTAAAGTGATAAATGCTTGAAGAATTTTTCAGAAGCTGCACAACTCTGAATTTCTAAAATCATCACCCCAAAAAACTACCAAAATGGAAAGTGTATTGATTCAGCAAACCTAAGTTACACTCCCACTCCTCCCCTCAGACAAGGGGAGATCAACATATACACAGAGACTCCCTCAAACCCCCCTAATCTCCCAATTCCTCAGCTTACTCATTTCCCGTGACCTGCTCCTCCCCCCACCTCCGCTACACAAAAAGATGTCCAGTGAGACCCTTGATCACCCATAAGCGGCCCCCTTTCACATTCATGAACTCTGAAATCCTTTTATCTCCTCATCATCTGTTGTCATTCCACTTATCCCTCTGCCGAGCAACTCCTAACTTCTCTTCATCCTCCAGTCATTCAACCTCCAATCCCTTCACTTCTTAGTTCTTTCCCAAGCCATCACACCTACACTGTCCTCTCCCAATGCTGACTCTTTGGTGACCCAGTTCAATTCTCTTAAACCCCTGGCCCCATGATCTTACTGAAGATCTTGCCCTGCCAAACCCTGAACTTGGATTACTCCCACCACCACCCAGTCTTTGCTCATGAACTCACATGCTACCCAATGAAGCCGGAGAAAATTAGGAAATTGTGCTGAGTATGTCCAGTATGTATTTGTTACATGATATCAACTGAACCCTCACTGCCGCAAGGCAATCTTCTTATATGTCCCTAATCAAATCACTTTCTCTCTTCCAAACCTTTTCATCCCTCCTCAAACTTCCATAGCTCCCACACATACTCTCAGCTGAAAACCTTCTCTCATAGCTCAATGGAAAAACTGAGACCCTTAGGTTCTCCCCTCCTCCTCCTCCTCAGCTCACATCACTCAGATGCCACTACCTCCTCTTTCACCCCCATCTCACATGACGACTGAGTGATGCATACACATGTGATTCCATTCATCCATCTTCTCAAGATTACTCCTCTAATCTTTAATCTGTTCCTGTCTACTGCTTACAAGTATGCCCATATCTCCCCCAGCCCATCCAAAAAGAAAATAAATTCTCATTTGATCCATCTATCCCCACTGACTATCATCCCATGTATCTCCTTCCTTTTGCAGCTAAACTCCTTGAGAAGACCATCTATAAGAGGTGCCTGTCACTCTCTTAACTCTGCAATCTGGCTTCCAACTTCATAATTCAACGGTAACTGGTCTTTCCAAAGTCCCTAATGAACTCTTAATTTTTCACTCTAATGGCATTTTCTCCATCTTCATCCTTCTTCTCTGGAGCCCTTGACAAAGCTCATCATTCTCTTCTCTTGGATCCTTCTCTGCTCTCTCCTCCTATCTATCTGACTGCTCTTCCTCAGTCTCCTTTTGCTGGATCTTCAGCCAGATTGCACCCACTAATGGTGGATGTCCCCCAAATCTCTGTCCTGGACCTTCTCCACCTATACTATTTCACATAATGATCTTATAAGCTCCTATGGATTCAATTGTCATCTCCATGCAGATGATTCTCACTGACATCTAGTATTACATTTCCACCTGCCTATCAAACATCCTGAACTTCGATCTCATAGACATATTAAACTTACCATGTGCAAAACAACTGATATTCTTTCCCCTAAACCAGGGGTAGGGAACCTGCCACCTCAAGGCCACATGTGGCCTTGCAGGTCCTTGGATATGGCCACCCAAAGTCTGACTAGGTTTTATGGTTTGATTGAGTCCAAGTTTTACAGAACAAATCCTTTCATTAAGGGGATTTGTTCTGTGAAGTTTAGATTCAGTCAAAGGGCCACACTTGAGGACCTTGAGGGTCACATGTGGCTTCGAGGCTGCAGGGTCCTCACCCCTGCCCTAAATCCTCTCTTCTTCCTAATTTCCCTATTAATATCAAGAGAACAGCCATTCTCCCGATCATTAAGGTTCACAACCTAAGTGTTTGTCATCCTCAACTCTTCTTTCTCTCTCACCCCATTCCTATATCCAAACAGCTGCCAAATCCTAACAATGCCACCTTCCCAATATTTCTTGTATGTGCCCCCTTGTCTCCTCTGACATTGTTATTACCCTGGTACAGGCCCTCATCACCTCACACACAGACTGTCAAAACAGCCTGCTGGTTGGTCTGCCAGCCGTAAGTCTCTCCCCACTCCAGTGGTCATTTAGCTGTCAAACTGATCTTCCTAAAGCACAAGTCTGACTCGGTTACTTTTCCATTTAATAAACTCCAATGGCTCCCTACCACCTTCAAGATCAAAAACAAACTTCTCCTTTACAACCTGGGCCCTTACTCCCTTTTGTTTTCTCACACCTCACATCCCTCTGCATACTCTCTGCTCAGGCTGGCCTCCCTGTTTCTCACACATGATATTCCTTCATCTCCCACCTCCAAGCATTTTCACAGACTGTCCTCCATGCCTGGAATGCACTCCCTCCTCATCTCCACCTCCTGGCATCCTTCAAGTTTCACCTCAGGTCTCACCTTCTGCAAAAAGTTTTTCCCAGTCTTTACTCTTTGTGCCTTCCCTCTGAGACTACAACCAATTTACCCTGTATATATCTTGTCTGTAGTTGTTTAGATTTTTTTTTCTCCATTAGATTGTGAGCTCCTTGAGGGCAGGGACTGGTTTTTGCCATTCTTTGTATCCCTAGTGCTTCATACAGCGCCTGGCACACAGTAGGTGCTTAATAAATGCCTGCTGGCTGACTAAATAAATGAATGAATGCATTTCACAGGAAAAGACCACGTTATAACTCAGGTAAGAAATTTCCCTCCAAAACTGGCATGAGAGGAAGTCTTACAGCTCATTCAACAAATGCCACCCCTTCCAATGAGTCAGCTCAATGCTAAGAAGAGAATGTCAAAGATTCTAAGGAGAGACTTAGCAATGGCAAAAACCCTCACATCAGTTTCTGTAATTCTGCTGTGCAGAGTTCCAAATTAACATTGCATTTATCAGTCTGTCAGCCTATGGTAAGTTCTGATATTCCAAATAAATGATACCACTTAATTAATGAAAAGAGATTAGAAGTCAATGAGAATATGATTACTTCTAACATCGCTATTTTTATTTGAAATTAAACATATTTTAATGCCAACGTCCAAAAAACAAACATCTAAGAGAATATGTAAATGAATTAACTTATTACACAATATGGCCCTGCCAAAAACAATGTAATTGAATTTGGCAATCAATTATTCCAGAATTAATTTTTTCTGAGTACCTGACACATTAACTAGACTTCAGAGATGTCACAATAAGAAATCAGATATTTTTAAAAAGTCGGGGGCTCAAGATGAGACCTCGATAGCTCAAAGCTTTCTACAAATCTTCCACCACTGACAGCACAGAGCTATGGCCCTATAAAACGATGTGACTTTTCCTTTCTCTCCTATACCACAGAGGTATAATTCCAATTATTTAAACAACCCAGGACCACTAGTCAGCTCCACCTCCACAAGGGACCCCAACAGCACCAGCTCTACAAAAAGAAACCAGTGCCAAAATTAATCCACAACTGTCTGCAGCATGATTTTCACTTTGTAACTTCGTATTTTTTCACTTCCTTCTCTTCAAAATGAAAAAAAAAAATGGCAGTCAACTTTGGAAAAGTCTGAAAACAAGATCACCGACCCCCAAAAGTCTAATTTCATTACAGCCTTTGGTCTAATTTCATGGACAAGAATGGCCTAGTCACGCCTATGCAGATGCACACAGAAAGATGCTTGATCCCTAATAAAAGGCAGAGCCAAGGTGTGAAATGTTCCAAAAAGATACAATTCAAGAGTTAATTAGTGTTCCCAAGTAGCTTTGTGACAGATGATGAAAGGTACTACAGAAGCAGAAAACACTACAAAGGCACAGCAAAATACAATACCTCAAAGACAAGAATCTGGTTTTGACCCTGATGTAATGAGGATTCTAGGGACCACTGGCAATCTCCACTTACAAAGCCAAGCATGGAACAGACCCAAAGGATCAAATACCCTGTAACAAAGGGAAACTGATGTGATCAGGCCCGAGTCCGCCCTTCCGGCTGTCCCTTCTGTAACAGCACCAGACTTGAAGCAAACAGTTTCAACCAAACTGGCTCTCCCTTTATTCCCTGCAATCAATGTGACTCACCTCCTGCCCTGTGGCTGCTTCCATGTCAAGGAAGAGGTCCAGCAGGGATCGGACCAGACGAGCCGCCTTCGCCTTGCTGATGGAGTTCAAGAAGGGTCGCACGTACTTCAGGAGTCCCCCAAGCTCTGCAGATAAGGCAAATCAGAAAAGAGAAAACTGTCAGTCACTCAGGATGTAATGCAAATATGAAGCAGTCTTGAGGACGTGATTTCTCCACGTTTTTTCTTCCAGATCTCACCTTAGGGAGGTTCTGTCACCTTCCCACAACCTTGAAATGAAACGTTCTAGTGCAGAGGAAGGAAGGAGCTAAGCAGTTGGCTTGCCATTTCTAAGTCTCCCACTTTTATTAGGTAGTGTTCTTCAGTTATAGCCCACCTTATTGTAGCAAGGATCAGTTTTTCAGGTTGGGCTGGACGTCAGCCCCTATGATCCTTTCCACATCCGAAATTCCATGATTACCTTCCTCTTTTAGGAATACCACTACTCTCCCTGGTTATCTTCTTGCTTGTCAACCTTTAAAGAGCTATGACATCCTTTCAAAACTTCATAATTAAACTGTTGAACATAAGCCTTTCAAAAATAATGATCAGTATTATCAAAGTTACAAAGGAAAGTTTTTCTTTAAAAAAAAATAGGTCATGGAGCACCTAGGTGGCACAGTGGATACAGCACTGGCCCTGAAGTCAAGAGGACCTGAGTTCAACTCTGGCCTCAGACCAAAACACTTGGCACTTACTAGCTGTGTGACCCTGGGCAAGTCATTTAAACCCAAATGCCTAAAAAAAAAAAAAAGTCAAAGCAAGAATTTTGCTTGTAAAAAGTATGAAACTTTGAAAATGATTCAGCTAAAACTCCCGGGAATAATGGTCTTTCATTTCAGAGAGACCTCCAAGAATTTACAGAAATCAAGAGCAAAATCTTCTTGATCCAGAAGATTCAGAGATCAAATGATGAGTCTTCAATTTAATGTTTCCTGTTTCCTCTCCTCAAATCAAGAAAAAGCTTACCCTTCCACAGTTCAGGGACATGTTCTATTCTTACCACTAGGTCCTTGGGGTCCTCATTAGCCAAGACTTAAATAGTTAGCATATGCTAGCTATTTAAGTATTGTATTAGTAGTGTATCACAATTACATATTGTATTGTACTTTATTAGACACTACAGAGACTTTGCAAAGAAGGGACGAGACTCTGATTTTTCCAAGTGCCCAACCCGCTCTGCTCTCAGTAAGATCTGCCTCCTTAACAGTCCCCTCAGAACCCCCTCTCACTACTGCTTTCATGCTTTTGGTCACAACACTCCTCCCACCTGAAATTCTAATGACCTCTGGGCCACTTCTTGACCCTCAAGACCTGCCTCAGTTCCTACCTCCCCTGAAGTCTTCCTTGATGACCACCCTAAACACCTCCTTTTGCTAATTTCTATTTTGGTTATTTATTGTCTGCACCACACAACTGAGTGCTTTATTACAGAGTAGCCCACTCCTAGAACTGGAAAGGAACTCAAAAGCAAAACAGTCCAGCCTTTCACCCAACATAGAAATCTCTTTCCTGACAGTCAGCCTCTGTCTGAATATTTTCAGGGATTGGGAATTCACTAGAGTGGCTTCTCATTTCAATGCTAGACAGTCTTAATTGTTAGAAGGTTCTTTACATTGAACCAAAAATTTGCCTCCTTATAACTTCGATACAATTTGTCCAGTTTTCCCTTAAGAACAAATTGCTGCATTCTTCCATGTGACTGACCTTCAAGTATTGGAAGGCAGTTATGAAGTTTTCCCCTCACACCTCCTCTATGCCCGATTACAGTTCCTTCAACCCCTTCCTCATATGACAATTTTCCACACCTCTCTAACTATATTGGCCACCACTCTCCAGACTCTCCGGTTTCTTAATGGCCCACTTGCCAGTATAATACTCAGAAGGGGATACAACGCTCCAGATGTCTGACCAGCACAGAGTACAGGGGAACTAAAACCTCCCTTGAGCTAAATTTCTTTTCACACACCTAAAATGTCTATTCATATACCCCAAAACTACACTGCCATTTTTTAGCAGCCAGCTTACACTGCTGGCTCCTATTAAGCCTATGGTTAACCGAACTCTGCCCACCCCCCCATGTCTTTTCCACACAAACTACTAAATAGTCTTTTCCATACTGACTGAATTATCTTAAACCTAAATGTAGGGCTTAAAATTAAATCGGGATAAATGTAATCTTGTTTGATTCTACCAACATTCCAGTCTAAGAAGGTTTAGATTGCCTTCATCTGCCATATAGCTCTCTCTCCCAACTTTCTATTAGAAGTAATACAGTGCTGACAGAGGAATCAAGAATAAGTTGGGTCAGAATCGTGCCTCTGACCCCAGCTATGTGACCAGAGTCAATTCTCTTGACATTCCTCAGCCTGGTTCTTCATCTGTAAAACAGTACAGCATCCACCTCACTAGGGTGTTGTCAGGGACAAATGAGCTAATAAGGTCAGCAACCTTGGTTTAGTACCTCTCAACCCTTTTGAGCCATGTTCCTTTTTCTATTCCCGAGCAACAGAAATGATACCTAACTTTTCAAAAATATACTTCCCTGAAGCCAAGGGTACATGTCCTTCCATGTTCCCTTCCTCTGAAACACTGACCTCCAAAATGGCCTGGTTACTTTCTCCCAAGGTTCCTGTCACTCACTTCCAGATCACCAAACTCTGTTGGTCAGAATTAAATCCAAAGTAGCTGCTTTCCTCATCACTTCTACCTTCTCGGACAAAGCTGCTAGTATGTAAAGCTGATACATAAAATACTGCCTTGTTCACCGATGGATTCACAAATGCATCTGGTCTCCCAAAATAGACTCAAATATCTTTGTAGGCATGGGATGTGTCACATTATGTGTACCTCATATATAGTAGGCACACAGGATTTCATAAGTACCTGATGAATTACTGATAGAAAAGATATGGTTCCTATCTTCAAAGAGTTGAGAATAAAAAGAAACAAGATAGAATCTATCTAGCTGTACACACATCAATGAAATAAGACTCCTAACTTTGTTAGGGGCATGAGAGTATACACCAATATTCACTAGACTATGACCACAGAAACAGCCAACTTCCTAGCAACCCTTATTCTTTCACCCTTCCCAACTCCACAGGTCTTAAGTGTCAGTGATAGTGGGTGGGATGGATGAGAGAACAGAAGGGACAAAAAATTTTAAGAATCAGTTACAATCTTTTTCATGGAAAAGTATTTGACAATGGTATGTCTCATACCATTAATTCTTCATTATTCAGGTTTACGGATGGGAGTAAATCAAACCAGATAAACCAAAAGCCTTTTTCACAAAATCATTATTTTAATTATGGTTTAATTCTACAAATCTTAGCACCATTCTTAAAGCTCATAACCAACTAAATGCAAGGAGAAGTGGCTCAAAAGCAGATAGAAGCTGGTCTAGAATTAAAAATGTCTAACAGACAATTCTTATAACTGAAAACTGACTATATAAGCACAATGAAATCACATACAGAATAAGACACAAATTTCACACAAATGCACCCTGTAGATTATTTTGCCATCTAGCCACCAACAGAACTCCATTTGTATGAAGTGAGTTCTGTTCTGATTTGATACATTAAAAGTATCAAAATCAAGGGAATGTGCCAACTTAGGGTATCAACTTCTAAGCATCAAATTAAGATCTGGGCAAATTACTAATCAAGTTACTTTTTCCGCACATTTTTTTAAACTTCCTTTAAAATTAGCAGCACTTACCTGATTTAGCTGTGCTAACGCTGTCTCACTCCACACCAAGAACTGAACAGGACTTTTCAAACTTCAGCCTGAGAAAGTCCATTCCTAAGCAGCAGCAGCACCACTCTCTTAAATCCAGGGCATACCAGGACCAGTGCCTGCAGCATCTCTCAACAACCTAGAATTCTACCTTATACAGCATCTGACAGTCAATGAGCTGACTCCAACTGTAGTTTCAGAGCAGCAACATGCACAGAGCACTGGGTCCCAATGCAGAAGTTTCAGGAAAGCTTTGGCCAACTAGATTCTTACTCATTTTGGACCAGCAAGGATGGTGAGTCACACAGAACTGCAAAGTCCCAACTATTTTACAGGCCAGGTTAAAGGTCCTAAAGCCCATCATACACATACCAAGGTTGTTTGCTGAGATCACTGAGTACTCCTTCAGATCAGCACGTGAAGTCCCAGAATAGTAAAAACATTGGAAAAAAAGTCATGAATCACACCAAAGGCAAAATAGTGACTTGACAGTTATTGTAAGAACTTTGCCCTGAACAAAACTCTGACCTGAGTTTATTGCGTACAGAGTTCCCAAACTTATCTGGGAAAACAGAAAATATCATACAACCACAGAATTGAGTTGTGTATACCTTTCTATGCATCTTCATATGATACATACAATGAGACTGTAAACAATGATTCCTTCCTGAGCCAAGAGAAGGCATTGGAATTTGTCTCACTTACCTGCGGCCTGTCCAGTCTTGGCCAGAAGCGATCCCAGTTCCAGGATGCTCTGCTCTTTGACCTGCACCGCCTCCTCATCATTTTCCTGAATGTCACGTTTCACTAGGAGAAAAATGAAAAACCCTCTTGAAATTCTGAATGAAGACTGAGACCCAACACTCTCAGCAAACTCAGCTTTAGCTCACTTCATCCTTAACTACCTAACAAAATGAGTGAGGTACAAATCAATGTGAAGTAAAACTTAATGAGATGTACTATCCCAGGATTAAGAGAAAATTTTAAAATCACAATGCTAAAATAATGCAAATTCTAAACAAGACTAAAAGATAATTCAGGTCCAATCTATATAATGAAAATAGGTTGGATACAAAGTTTTAACTCTGGAAACCTGTTTAAAAAAAAAAAAAAAAACTTGTCTTGTTTGAAAAGGAAGTCCCTTTTCTCCTCCCCAAATCAGAATGCCAGCTTGTAGCAGCTATCCTTAACCATGGCCGCAGATTTACGTTGGCCAAGGCAGGATAATAAAAAACTATTTCCTACAACATAAAACTGTGAAATATGCCCAGCATAATCACCATCTCAGCAGACACCAAACTATAATCAAAATGCACAAGATACTTAATACTCTAAGGTCAACAAGCCTTAACATAAAAAATGCTGACCAGGTAATAGGGAAGCTAGAGGTTATGTTAAAATACAAGCAGTTCTACCAAGTCATTCGTTAAAAAACAAACCAAACAAAACAAAAACAAGTCAGCCTGTAGAACACTGATCAAGATTCAGTGTTCAATCTGTACAACATTTACTGAAGAGGGTTTTTCTGTAAAAGATTCAGACTGTGCTAAAACAACTTGGTGCTTTCTCCACCGGAGCAGAACAAAAAAGCCCCGCTATTGATAAAAGTACTATTACCAAACTACCAACCAGAGAGTAATTATTACCATTAGTTACCACTGATTTTAGAGGCTACCATGACTTGACAAAACCAAGAGTAAATGCACCATGATGGAGCCGGGAAAAAGTGCAGCTGAGTGTCACTACTGGGTCTCAAGTTTGCCTTCTTCCTAGGACTAGAACCACAGGACCCAGTCTAACTACAGTGTTGTCACTGCAATCCCATCTAAACCACTATGAAGCCCAGGGAAACACAAAGCTCTAAGTACACTCTAGCTCAGTTTCTCCAATGAAGAAAAAATACACCTGAAACTGCGGACCCTACTCCTCCCATACTCTATCAGCTTGAAGACCTTGAAGACGGAAAACTTCTCACAAAAATCAGCTGAGAATGCTCTTGAGTTGGGAGAACCTGGGTTCGAATCCCACCTCTGATGCTTACTACTATGGAACCTTGGGCAAGTCTCGGCCTACGAGAGCCTCAGTTTCCTCTTTGGTCAAATGAGGGAGTGGGTCGGCCTGGTGTTCCGGCTCTAGGGTTCTCCTGGGAGGGGGCATTACGCCGCCCCACCCCTCACTCTTCCCTCCCTCCCTCACCCAGACTGCGGGAGTCGGCCTTGGCCCGGGGCTCGGACCCTGCTCTGCACCCCACGCTAGGCCGGGGCACCCTGGTCCTCGGGCCACGGAAGGTGACCAAGCTAAGCCTCCGCAGTCGCCCGGCTACTTGTTGCACGATTAATCCACATCCTTTGATCTCCGGCACGGGGCAGCCCTCGCGGCGCCCCCAGGGCGCGGGGCACCCGGGGCCCGGCCGGGCTGGAGGACTCGGGGGGCCCCCGGAGCTGCCAAAGTCACGGCGGCCGCGCGCGGGGGGAGGCCCTCGGGAGCGCGCGTACGTCCGTCCGTCCGTCCGCCCGTCCCAGGGTCCGTCCCGCCAGCCGCCTCGGCGGGGCCCCGGGGTGAGTCAGCAGCGGCGGCGGCGCCCCGGCTTCCGTCCGCCCGTCCCTCCGTCCGTCCCTCCCTCTCTCCGGGCAGCGGCGGCGCGGCCTGTGCCCCGGCCCGGCCGAGCCCGGCCCCCTCACACACCGTGAGTCAGCAGCGGCGCCCGGAGCCCCCAGCCCGGCCCCGGCCCCGTCCCCGGCTCGCGCTCCGAGGCGGCAGCGGCGGCGGAGCCGGGCGAGGGCCGGGCGCTTACCGATGGAGTGCAGGATGTCGATGGAGGCCTCCCGGTCGGTGCTGAGCAGGGACTGGGCTCTCTGGAACTCCACCGCCGCCGCCGCCATCTTACCACCTCTCACACCGTCCCCGGCCGCCGCCGCCGCCGCCGGAAACACCAGCGCGGCAGGCCCGCCCCCTGCCTCCCCGAGCATCATGGAAGTTGTAGTCCTTCCGCCGGGTAGGCGCCGGGTCCGGCCGGGAGGCCGTGAGAGAGGAGGGAGGGGAGGAGGGGGGAGGGGAAGGGGGTGGGGCGAGGGACGACGCGAGGAAAGGAGGGAGGGAGGGCACGCGAGTTTGGAAAGAGGGGGAGGGGGAGGCCCTCCGGGGGCGCCAGAGCCAGGGAGGACAGGACTAGCAGGGCTTGGGGGCGGGGCGAGGGACGGCGCGAGGGAGGACGCGAGTTCTGGGAGAGGGGAAGGAGTCGCGAGGGCGAGGGAAGGAGGGCAGAAGCGCCGGGGCGGGGGGACGCGAAGGAGAGAGACGGAAGAAGGAGGCGGGGCGAGGGAAGGAGGGACGGAGGGGGCAGCGAGAGCGAGGAAGGGAGGGCGGGGCGAGACAGAGGGAGGAAGTGTTAGGGAAGAGGAACGCGAGCGCCGACGAGAGAGGGAGGAGGTGGCGGTGAGGGGGAACGCGAGCGAGGGATGAAGGGGGCGGGGCGAAGGAGGGAGGGCGAGCGAGCGCGCGAACCAGAGCTAAGGAGCCATGTGCGACTCTGGAGCAGCAGCAGCAGCTCAGAGCTGGCCGTCTCACGCCGGCCGCTAGGATAGCCAGTGGTGCGTCCCAGAGGAGGGACGACTTCCCCAACACCCGCCAAGTTGGAAAGGCCCCCAAAGGACGGTGCCTGCCTTCCAGAACAGGAATTCCCTCCCACAACACCCCCTCCAGTGACGGGGAGCTTATTAACTTTAGGCGCAGCCCGTTTCCCACCCACCTCTTTTGTGTCCTGCCCCCACCACCCCCTCCGCAGGGTGGTGAAGGCTATGGTAGCTTTTTAAAAACTCAAGGGAAATGCTAAGTCTCAGTTAGAGGTCAGTGAACACCCAAGTTCACGGAAATCTATCCGGGCCGCCCGGGGTCCGTGGACCCCCCTCCGGTGCCTCGCTGGAGCTTTGACCAGTTACTGCTAATCCCCCCTCAGCACCAAACAATAATTTGGTCTTCCTCCTCCTCCCCCTTCTTCCCCTCCTCCACCTCTTTCCCTTCTCCCCCCCTCCCCATTCTGTCCGCCCTCTGTCCAGTCCCCCGCCCTCTCCATTGTCCCCTCTGTGGGTCCTTCCCAGCTGCTCAGCCTTCCGCCTTCGACACCGTCCCCCTCCTCTTCTGAGCACTCTCCTCTCTCAGTCCCCTTTGCTAGTTCTCCCTCCAGGTCGTGCCCACCCAGGGTGGGACCCCCCACAGCGCTGTCCTGGGCATTCCCCTTCCATCTCCTCCTTTGGTGATCTCATCACAATCAGTGTCACTGTGCAGGTGACTTCCCAGATCTCTGGACACAGCCCGGCTCTCTCTCCCCGCGTACTCTGGTTCTGCACCACCGATTGCCTGTATTCGTGGATGACCTAGCGATATCTCCAACTCTCCGTGTCCAAACCTGAACTCATTCCTCCTACCCCAAACAGTCCCCTCTTCCCAGCTTCCCTCTCACTGTCCAGGGTACCAACATCCTCCCAATCACCCGGGCTCACAGTGCATCGCCATCCTTGTCAGCTCAGTGGCACTCACACCACAGAGCCAAGCTCTCCACAGGTCTTGCGTTGCTGCCTTCACAGCTCTCCTCTAAGTCCCTTCTCTCTGATCACTTCACCACCACCCTGCTGCAAGCCGTTATCACCTCATGCTAGTCTACACCGCGGCTTACAGCCTTCAGGTTGACTTCCGTGCCTGAAGGCTTTTCCCACATTGATCTTCCAACTAGCTGCCAAAGTGATCTGCCTAAAGCCATATCTGACCATGTAAGCCACACACACACCCACACACCCACACCCACACTCCAGTGGCTCCCTGTACTCCAAGATTAGATTAAAACCCCCTTTTGTCTTCTAAAGTCCTTCAAAGCCTTTCAGTCTTCTTACACTTTACCTCTCTCCACAGACTACAAATCAACATGACTTGCTGGTGGTCCTTTTGCTGTTCTGCACACATGCTCCTCCATCTCCTGATTCTCTGCCTTTTCCCTTCCTGGCGTGTTCTCCTTCCTCATCTCTGCTTCCTGACCTCCCTGGCTTCCTTGAAGACTCAGCTCAGATCCCACCTTCTGCGAACCAGACCCCCAGCGCCAGCCTCTTAGACTGCCTCCCCTTTGTACAGTCTTTATTATGCATGTACAAAATTCTGCATGTCATTTCCCCCATTAGAACATGAGCACCTCAAAGAGTAGGGACTGGTTTTGCCTTTCTTTGTACCCTCAGCACAGGGCCTAGCACATAGGGTTTAATAAATGTTTGTTCACTAAGTCAAGAGGCAGAATGGTCTACTGTCATCCTCCTCTATTAGAATGTTGACCCCTTGAAGGCAGGCACCACTGTCTTGTTTGCTTTTATCTGTATCCCCAGCACTCAACACAGTGTCTGGCATAGAGTAAGCATTTCAATGTTCGTTCTATCTATCTATCCTGGTTTTAATCCTGCCCCAAGTGCTTACTAGCCAGTTGGGTAAACTTGACCAAGACACAACCTCTCTTAGACTTCATTTCCAGGTGCTAGGGGGCACCACAATGAGCATTGGGCCTGGAGTCAAGAAGACCTGACTCAAATGAAGCCTCAGACCCTTACTAGATGTGTGACCCTGGGCAAGTCACTTACCCTCTATACGCCTCCGTTTCCTCATCTGTAAAATGGGGGAAATAATAACACCTACTTCACAGGGTTGTTGTGAGGACTAAAGGAGATAATATTTGCAAAGTGTTTAGAACAGTGCGTGGCACACCTATAAGATGAGGATTGACCTCAAGGTCCCTTCCAGCTCTCAATCTACGATCTTATTATTATGATCCCTCTTCCATATAACAGACTATTCATGCCCTCTTCCTGCCCCTTCCCCCATCTTTTCTTCTCAGGGATGAATCTGCCCAGTTCCTTCGAGAGATTCCTACATGGCTCGGTTTCCAGAATACTTACCATACACCCAGACCATCCTCTGAACTCTCTTCAGTTTGTCAAGTCAACAAAACATTTCCGTAAACTTTTATTAAATGTCTGCTCCGTGCCAGGAAATGGACATTCAAAGACAAAAAGGAAACAATCCTTGCTCACAAGTTTAAATTAAACTGGAGGGGGAAGCAAGACATACACACATAGAAGTTTTGTCCGTGTTTTGTACAGAATTATTTCATCAAATACATACTCCAATAAATGCAAGAGAAGTGGAAGAGGGAAAGAGGGCCAACACCTTGGGGAACCAGGGAAGGCCTTATAGATGACGTGGGCACCTGAGCTGAGCTTTGAGGTAAGAGAAGGATTCTGAGAGGTGAAGTTGAATGAATGTCCTCCAGACCTGGGACCTGTTTGTGTGAATACATGAAAACAAGAGATAGAGTGTCAAAGTCAGAATACACCTGGTATTTCACATTGACTGGAATACTGAATGTGCAAAGGTGAGTAGTGTGGAACGAGGCTGGAAAGGTAGGTGGGATAAAGAGTTTATATTTTATTCTAGAGTCAGCAGGGAAGATTTTTGAACAAGGGAGTCACAGGGTCAAACCTGAGCTATAGAAGGCTATTTTGGCAGCTGAGTGAAGAACAGATTACATTTCAGAAGCAAGAAGACCAAATAGGATGTGATTACAATAGTTCAGGCAGGAAGTCTCAACTAGAGTGGTGGCCACATGAGTGAGAGAAGTGGAAAGATACAAGAGATGCTATGGAGGTCAAATCAAGAATAGATCTGACTTCAGGAATGAGCAAGAGGTAATAGTCATGGGTAACTCCAAGTTTACAAACCTAGGTGACTAGAAGAATGACCATGTCCTCAACAGAAATGGGAATGGTTGGAAGAAGAGTGGGTTTAATGGGGAAATAATAATTTCTGTTTAGGGAATCCTCAAATAAACAAATCTATGACCTTATCAATATGGAAGTTCCCTTGACCACGCAGACCCATCCCATCCATGCCTACCCACACTGTGTAACTCTTGTCTATCTGTTCATCACATGAGACCTAACCTATGTGGTGGAAGTTTTCTTTACTTTCTTCTGACAATCCAAGGCTACCAGTGAGAGGAACATTCTGGTTGTCCACCTGTCATCCCTTACTACGACCAGTCCATCTTCTCTTCCTAGCATACATTTCTTTGATGAAATCTTTTTTCTTCGATGAAATCTTTTTTCTTCAAAGGTCTGGGTCAGTTATGTGTTGCAGCCTGTTCACACCCACTATATGTCTCTCCACTGCCTTCTGTGTGATATTCATTCTTAATTCTTCAGTCACTTATATTTCCATGTTTTGCCACCATATAGAAATGCTGGCAGAACATTGGTATTAAATAGATGGGGTTTTATTTCCACGGAAAGCTTAGGGTCATAAAAGAGCTTTGTAGTTTTTTGTAGTGGACAATCCTGCCCACTCTCCTCTTGTTTAAATCCAGGACCAATATATTGCTCATTTATACTGTCCACCCAAGACAGACGTGCTGATGAAGAAGCTTTATAGGTATTCCAGCCAGATACATGTCATAATCTGGGCAACAGATATTCATCATCCACTCAGTTTTTCCTTCATGGATGGAGAGGCCAAACTCTTTTGGGTGGTTATATATCTCTTCCAGGAGACTCTGCAGAGTTCCAGGGATTTATTGACAAACAGATGCACTTCAGGGACATCAACATCCACAGAGAAATCTTCTTCAACTTGCAATATGTTGTGGATCCCCTTCATCACAATGTGAACATCTTTGGCTTTTGGAACCAATATTCAACAATGGACTGCATCTTTACTATTTTGTAATTGACTGAAAGCTGGAGACCATGTAAGCCCACTGGGTTTAATGTTTGTTAATTATGAGAAATTATTTGATTGGGGAGAAGAAAACATTGGCTTATAGGCTCCTTTGCAAGGAAGTATCTCTCCACCATACATCAAAAATCATTCAAAACTCCTTGAAAGACATAACAGAAATAATGCAGTTAAAAGACCCTCTGATCAGGAAAGAGGTGAAATAGAAATAGGCCCTGGTGCT